TATGTAATTTTAGTATTAGACACAGCAGGTCAAGAAGAATTTAGTGCAATGCGAGAACAATATATGAGAAGCGGCGAAGGATTTCTACTTGTATTCTCTATAACTGATCTTTCATCTTTCGATGAAATATTAAAATTCCACAGGCAGATACTTAGAGTAAAGGATCGAGAAGAATTTCCTATGCTTATGGTTGGTAACAAAGCTGATTTGGATTATCACAGAGTTGTAAGTGATTAAAACATAAAGAAAGAAATGAAGATTATGTGCAAAATACTATGTTAATATTGACATAGGTTCTAATTGTTATAGGTTCAAGTTGAAGAGGCACAAAATAGGGCTCGTCGATTGAAAATCCCTTATATTGAATGTAGCGCAAAATTAAGAATGAACGTTGACCAAGCTTTCCACGAATTAGTAAGAATTGTCAGAAAGTTTCAGTTATCTGAAAGACCGCCGTTAGAATTAAACTATAAGAAAAATAAAAAGAAATGTTGTATGTTGTAATGACTAATATGTTTTTAATTGACGAATTTTTGTATCAACAAAAGGTTGGATCAAAAATTAGAATTGTGGAACTAATCAAATCATGAGAATCGTAATCTCTTACACTTAAGTTGAAGTAAAAATTTGAAATCTAAAATAACGGATTGTTCAAATGGTGATAACATAACTGCTTTTGGTAATAACATTTAGACTATTTTAACTGAGAATTTATACACGCAACTTGGATCAAAGAGTGCTTTAAGCACGTATGATATTTTTGAGTATATTACAAATACTTTGTACTCAATTATAAAACGAATTAATATAGTATTTATCAGAAGTGTAGTAACACTGTTTACAAATCGTGTAATTTTAATTGTATAAGAAATAAAAATAATGACGTATTTTATTAAAAATACACTGGTTATGATGTAAGTTTTATATTAAATATATTAATATATTTAATACTATAATTAATATTATCGTGAAACACATATATCCCTATATATTGACTTTATATATCAATTTTCAAAATAAATCTTAATATTATTTAAAGTATTTATTTGTAAATACGCATGTAAATAACAATAACAGCAAGGCCAATAACTCTAATATGAAACTTTTATTAATTTTTTTAATTTAATATAATTTTAATTATACTTAATTTTTCTGTTATAAATGCAATAAGTGAAACTTAAAAAAGTTTGATGTGTTCATAGAATGGTTAAAATTACCAAAAAAAAGTTTGATGTGTTCATAGAATGGTTAAAATTACCAAAATACTTGTTTATTTATATTATTTTATGTTTATTTTTGCTATAATTTACCTAGCGTTATGTAAAAAACTGTTTTTATTTTTAAAATAAAAGAAATTTATTATAAACAATTTTATGCTTGTATTTACAATTATACAGTATGTACTTTACATATGTATTAGCTATATTTTCATAGTGAATATCTATATGACCAAAATGTATATGCTACTAAATTGTTATTATATTATAGTAATATATCAAATTGGTTTATGTAAATATACCAATTCCAAGACTAATATAAAATGCAAAAATTATATTTATTTTTATATATTACTATGTATTTGTAACAAATTTTTATACACACTTGATACATAGGCTTAATATGTGTCTGTTAACAACTTCTAATAAATTAAATGATAGTAAATAATTGTATTCATTGTTACAATGAAATTGTAACTTAATAATTGATAATAATTTATATTAATATATTTTTTTATCTTCAAAATGAAAAGTAAAAATTGAATTAATTGCATACTGTTTTTCTTGAATAAAAATCATTGCACACAATATTTGTAATCTTAATTTATAAACTGTTAATGTATTTCCTCAAGTATTTACATATTATTCTACGAGTATTATTAATAACAACATGGATATAAAAGAACAAGAATAATATTATTTTATGAATGATCCTTAAAATTTATATATTAAAAACGCAACGAAAATTAAAATTACTGTAAAAGAATAAAATATTTAATAGTTGAATAAAAGCAAGTTTTTGCAAGTTTTTTGTTTCTTAACTTTTTATCATTTTCGCAAAATAAATTCTACATACAAATATACACATAAATTCTCTCTCTCTCTCTCTCTCTCT